TTGCAATGTCAGGACAAGTACAAACACTCAACATTTTAGCGACCTAAGACCACTGTTCTAAAAATCGGCCTAGGCGGCCGCCTAGGCGCTAGGCGGTGCCCGGGCGCCTCCGATTTGCACAAATCGGCAGGAAAAATCGGCCAGGAGGCTCGGCGGCGCCCAGGCGGCCCTAGGCGCTCCTAGGCGGGCTCGGCGGCTAGGCGGTTAGGCGGCACCTGGCGGGCATAGGCGGTCCTAGGCGCTTCTAGGCGGGCTCGGCGGCAAATTTTCAATTTTTTTTCTTAATTTTTTTTAAATACTAATTACATTATTTTGTTCCCATGTTTTCTTTAAAACATATTAATATTATTATTTGGACTTAGGTGTATGAATTTATTATAAGTTGAGATAATTTTATTTTGCAGGTAGTTAAAATAAATAAAAAATAAAGTATTTAATATTAATTTTTAGACCCCGACTAGGCGCCGCCTAGGCCCTGCCTAGGCGCTCTAGGAGCTAGGCGCTGGTCGAGCGCCTAGCGGGCGCCTAGCAACTTTTAGAACACTGCCTAAGACGAGAAGGGGGAGGTATGATCCTCACGAGCAAGCCAGAGCTCCGCAGTAAGGTCAACGCTATTGATCGCGTCATCACGAACTGGTACCCACCAGACCATCGAGGTTAAATAGGCCCTTGACTAGTAATCCGCTATTCCAATGTCCGATGAATCCATCTGCCTCGGTCTATTCCTGTATCCAATTGATAGCTGATCAAGGCTTCGAACAAGTGCTTGAAGCCCTTGATCAGCTCGACCCGATAGCTCTCAAGAAGGTCAGTACCTGTCGAGGAGGAGAAGAATGTGGCACAACTTGATGAGCTCGTTATTTATGCTCATCCCTTTCCTTCGTTAAATTTTCAAGATCGGCCTTCAAGGTCATGTTCATCGAGGATAGAGTTGTTTTCTCTGCCTCATGGGTCGTACCACTTCTTTTAGCTGGCAGAGCTATGCTTTCTGACGACAAGTGAGCTCCCGCAGCTTGATGTTCGCGGCCTCACAATGTTCGAGGTATCTTTAGCCTTCACCAGCATGACATATCAACTCTATCACCAAGGGCCTCATTCAACATAGGAGCAAGGCCAGAAAGCATCTACATCAAATAAAGTAAAAGTCAAAAGGTTAATTTCTAGAAAGTTAAGTATGTATTGAGAGATCGAGGACATACCTGCCCAGCATGGTTCAGCACATGACCAGCTCATGCTTGGGTGTAGTCTGACTAGCGGTCGATCTCTCCATTAGGAAAGATCGACAGATGTAGGCGAATTGAACCCCGACGTCTTTGTTAGTCGCCTACCACTCGGGTTGTTGAAAAGTATGAGGAGCTCCCTTCTTTTTTCTAGTAGCCCCGTCTTTCTTCTCTGGGGCAGGACACTTTGGGCCAACCTCAGGCCACTTAGGTAGCTCGGGCAAGTGTGAAAGCTCAGGAATGTGGTCCTTAGGGCCCAATGGAGAAAGCTGCAATACGCTGCCTCTGTGGGGGCCTCGGTGGTCACACCTGTGGTCACCTCAGGTGAAACCTATTTGCAGTTAGAGTTCGACTCAGATAGGTATGCTCTCATTAGCTCCTCTGCACCAAACAATGATAAGAAATATGAAAATGAGGAAATTCAATAGTAAACAAAAGTTTTTAAAGTACATAGGTCATCCACGGGGGGCGATCTTGAGGAGGTCAGCCCGCAATGAAAACGCAGGCGGTTGTCGAAGGTTAGCTTCACGACATTGTAAGAAAGTTGGTTCAACTTCGAAAAAGCTTGATTTCGAACATGACACTATCATTTAATGTGAATAACATATTTGTCGCGCACCATCGTGTTTCGAAGCAAAATTGTATACATTTAAAATAGCCATGGAAAATAGTAGTAATAGAGGCAAAAGTGAAAAATTGTTTGACGTCTCCAGAAAAGCATGGTTTCGAACAGGACACTATCATTTGATGTGAATAACATATTTGTCGCGCACCATCGTGTTTTGAAGCAAAATCGTATACATTTAAAATAGCCATGAGAAATAGTAGTAATAGAGGCAAAAGGGAAAAGATGTTCGACGTCTCGGGAAAAGCATGGTTTCGAACATGACACTATCATTTGATGTGAATAACATATTTGTCGCGTACCATCGTGTTTTGAAGCAAAATCGTATACATTTAAAATAGCCATGGAAAATAGTAGTAATAGAGGCAAAAGTGAAAAATTGTTTGACGTCTCCAGAAAAGCATGGTTTCGAACAGGACACTATCATTTGATGTGAATAACATATTTGTCGCGCACCATCGTGTTTTGAAGCAAAATCGTATACATTTAAAATAGCCATGAGAAATAGTAGTAATAGAGGCAAAAGGGAAAAGATGTTCGACGTCTCGGGAAAAGCATGGTTTCGAACATGACACTATCATTTGATGTGAATAACATATTTGTCGCGTACCATCGTGTTTTGAAGCAAAATCGTATACATTTAAAATAGCCATGGAAAATAGTAGTAATAGAGGCAAAAGTGAAAAATTGTTCGACGTCTCCAGAAAAAAAAAAATGGTTTCGAACAGGACACTGTCATTTGATGTGCATAACATATTTGTCGCGCACCATTGTGTTTTGAAGCAAAATTGTATTCATTTAAAATAGCCAAGGAAAATAGTAGTAATAGAGGCAAAAGTGAGAAATTGTTCGACGTCTCCAGAAAAAAAAATGGTTTTGAACAGGACACTATCATTTGATGTGAATAACATATTTTCCGCGCACCATCGTGTTTTGAAGCAAAATTGTATACATTTAATATAGCCATGAAAAATAGTAGTAATAGAAGCAAAAGTGAAAAATTGTTCGACGTCTCCGGAAAAGCATGGCTTCAAACAGGACACTATCATTTGATGTGAATAACATATTTGTCGCGCACCATCGTGTTTTGAAGCAAAATCGTATACATTTAAAATAGCCATGGAAAATAGTAGTAATCGAGGCAAAAGTGAAAAATTTTTCCACGTCTCCGAAAAAGCATGGTTTCGAACAGGACACTGTCATTTGATGTGAATAACATATGTGTAGCGTACCATTGTGTTTTGAAGCAAAATCATATACATTTAAAATAGCCATGGAAAATAGTAGTAATAGAGGCAAACGTGAAAAATTGTTCGACGTCTTCGAAAAAGCATGGTTTCGAACATGACATTATCATTTGATGTGAATAAAACATTGTTTACATCGGTTCTATGTACAACCGATGTCAAAAATATAATATACATCATCGGTTTAAAAAAACCGATGTATTCTACTATAAAAAATACTTTTCACATTGGTGGTTTACATCGGTGTTGTTCAAAACCGATGTTGTATTATGATTTTTCCTTGGGCACATCAGTTATTGTAAACATCTGTTAGGCATCATCATCATCATATTATGTGGAAATTGGTCAGGATGACCCTATGCAGATAACAAATTGTGTAAATGACCCTTGACTTTATTGACTCAAATTTTACAAATAAAATTTAACAAATAATCATATTAAATAGACATTTACACATATACCCTCAACACAAAATAAACCCTCCTCACCCTTGCCACCTTCCTTCCTTCCCAATCTCTCTCTCGACCTCGTTGTTTTTTCTTCTGCAACTCCTCGGTCTCGCGCTCTCTCTCGCTCTTTTTCTCTCTGCTTTTCTTCAACAATTTTTCGTGGACAATCACTATAGAACTTTCCCTCGTCAATCCAGGTACGAATTTTTTCAATTTTTGTCAATTTGTTCTTTGTTTGGTCCATTGATATTGGTGGAGCAAGTTTGATTGTTGTATGTGAATTCATCTTATTTTGCTAGTTTTGATGGAATTGAAGATGATAATTTGTGCACTCTATGTGTTTGATGAAATGCTTGTAGGATTGAGTTAATGAGGTAAGATAGTAATTTGTGCACTCTATGTGTTTGATAAAATGCTTGCTATGCTAGTTGTTGTATACTTGGAACCATTAAAAATCACTTAAATTGTAACTGTATTGAAGGTATAGGTGTATTTAATCGACCGGGATGGAAATATAACCATAACGAATGTACTCTCGTTCTGGTTATATCGATGGAATGACATTGTTAACGATTCTATCTTCGTTATATATGACATTAGGACGATATTTTAAACTCGTTATAGTGTCGATATTTTAGGACGATATTCTATCTTCGATGGAATGACGTGTTAACGATTCTATCTTCGTTATATATGACATTAGAACGAAGGTAGAATCGTTATAGTTGTATTCGATCTACAAAATTGTCACTCATCTAAATAGTAACTTCACTTTGCACAATCTTTATCTGAATTATGTGTATGTATTTTATCCTTCATATTAATTAGTGATTGTTTAATTAGTATCTAATAATTTATCCCAAAGTCCAGATTTCATATGTTTAGGTGTGTGATAAGATTGTGCCAATGATTTTTAGCTTCACTAGTCTACAATAACTTGAGGAATTTTTCTGTTTTCTGCTTTGAAGAATGACATGATAAATTTGCATGAAAAAAAAAAAAAATTAATAAAGCTTGTTGACAGGGGATTAGAGCACCCATGGGTACATCTAAAATGTAGCTCTCAACTCTTGGTTTTCAGTCTTTATATTTCAATGAAGTATGCAATTTTGTTACTATATTTTTGTTCACCTAACTAGAGATGTTAAATAGACTCGCACTGACAGTTTTGCAAGAGTAAAAACGATCTAAGTTATAAGGGCTAGCAATATGCAGAACAAAACGAGTAACTCTATCATTTTTCTAATAATTAAAAATTAAACATGAAAACAATTTATACAATGAAATACGTAGTTGAGTAATATATATTGAACAAAATAGGTAAAACTATTTTTCTTCCTATAACAAGACAAATATAGGTATTAAAATTTTTTTTGTATTAATATAAATAAAATGAGTTGTCTTTCTGATGAGTTTTCTTTAAATGAGTTGTCTTTCTTCTCTTCTTTTAGGAACGGAAATGGAGTTAGCGTACGATATACCTTCATCATGCTCAAGAGTCGTGACCAATAGGTGCGACCTCAAGGTTGCCGATCATGTATTGGAGAAGCTAAATGATGTACATAAAGCTCTATTTGTGAAATCATGCTTCCGGCCACTAGTGCACATTCCCAATTTGAAATTGGCGTCTCAAATAATCCACCACCTTCTTCAAAGGACTTTGAAATCATCCGAGAATTAAAAAGAAGCCGTGTGGTTCAAATTTGGTGAAAAAAAAGCTAGATTCGGGTTACAAGAATTTTCTCTTGTAAGCGGATTGAAGATTGTGCATGATGTGGCTTCGTACGAGGTCTCGGAAAGAAGTAGTTCGATTTTGCATTTATTCAAAGGGAAGTGAGGGAAGCTAACAAAGAAAGACTTGCTCAAGAAATTTGATGATTTGGTAAAGAAGGAGGGAGATGAAGATTTGATATACAAATTGGGGCTTCTCACGGTCCTGGAGCATGTGGTTTTGTCTAACGAGTGCCGGACTCTTGTGGATAAAAAATGGTTTCATCTCGTTGAAAATTTGGAGGAGTTCAATGGCTATCCTTGGGGGAACTTGTCATACGAGTACACCGTAAAGTTGTTCAAGCGGAAAAGGTTTGATAATATAAAAAATACAGAGATGAAGTATTCTTTGCATGGATTTCCCCTAGCTATCATGGTATATTTCATATAAATATATATTTATGCTCTTTTTTATTTATTTATGTTAGCTGTATGAGTGTATTCTTAATTTTTTTTTGGTTGTTTGTTAATTAGGTTTGGGCATTTGAGGCACTGCCTGAGCTTGGAAGAAAATTTGCTGAAACTTGTGGTGGCGGTGGCAGACTTCCGAGAATTTTGTCTTGGAAAATGACAAAACAGTGGCGAAGCGAGCAACTTAGTACGTTTTTCAACACGTCGGAGGTAATCTTTTTAATGGATAATTCATCTTATTTATTCTTATAGTTTTGAAAAAACTAATTATACTATAATCAGGTTGAAGTTCGACGAACATTACAACCTTCAAGGGATGAAGTTCAAACTTCATACTTGAAGGAATTCCGTATTGTCCCTGAAGATGAGGAAGAAGAAGAAGAAGAAGAAAATGAGGATGAGGATGACGAGGAAGAGGGGGAAGAGGAAGAAGAAAAAAATGATGCATCTGAGTTTGATCCACCACAACCGCAAGTTTTTGGTGCTGAAAAGATTTCAGCTATAGTCAGGGAAGTTGTGAAGGATGAGATGAGATTATTTTCTGAGCGAATGGATATGAAGATGGACAAGTTTTTTGAGCGAATAAAAGATTTAGTTTTTCAATCAAAAGATAGTCCATCTACCCGTGCTACTTATGACGGGACAAATGTTGATACAGAGACCGCTGGAACAGTAGATGGTGTTGAAGGTATTCTTTTAAAATAGATGCATAATATTAATGTTATTACTCGAGTATTAAAAAAATAAATAGAACAAGTTATTGCAATATTTTTTTACATAAAGATATATTTTAAAACAAATGCAACATATTGTTGAATTACATAATTTTTTTGTTTTCTTCTGCAGACACGATCAATTCACCATCTCCCATGCCCGAGAAAGAAAAGGTGGGAGTTCATGATGACGTGGGCTTGGAGATGAGGGCAAAAGATAAAGTTGTCTTGGTCGAAGACAAATTTTCTGAGGAGGCTGTCTCACCAAAGAAGAATGAACATGGATTCGATACCGGTATGTAAAATGTAATTGTAATTATACGTAATTTGATAGTTTATTATTTCTAATAAATGAGTATTGATTGTTTTCTTGCCTATTGTAGGTATTGTGACCGACCCGTCATCAAAGATATTCCAAAAACTACCTATGGAGATCGAGGAAATCGATGAAGATGATGCACCTGAGTCTCTTAAGGGAAGAGGCCACCGAAAGAAAAGAAAGGCCGCCGTCCTACTTACTCCGTGGAGGAATCCCGAAAAAAGACAAAAAATTCCAAATGTCACAGAGTACGACCCTCATGACAGTGGATGAAGCTAAACTTGAGGATTTAAGGCGGTGGTTGGCGAACTCCCCTGAAAGGTATGTATTTGTGTTAAGTTAATTGTGGGCTACTCATTCTAATATATAAGGTTGTATTTCCTTGTTTAATTTACTGCTTTTTTATGTAGTGATGAAATTGACGTAGCTTGGGGTAGCGGTAGCGCAGGGAAAAATTTTTTTAATGACCTTCTGGACGATAAATGGCTTTGTAGTGGGGTAAAGTATTTAATTTTTTTTTTTGATATTTTACTCTCTAAACATGACATTTACTAATCTAATAAACATTATATACTCTTAGCATGTAGATGCAGCTCTTTTTCACATGAGATGTCGGGCTATAGAGTACCCTCACTTGTTTAGACAAGATTTGTCATCTTGGACCCGCATTTTGTGTCTTATGTAAGAATGTTCTTTAAAGACGCGTCAAAAGTTGAAAGCTTTGATAGGACAAATTTTCCAAAGGCATTAGTTAAGTACGCCGAAGGGAAAGTACCCCCTCATGCAAAGGCGTGGACTAGTTGTACCAAATTGTTTGTTGCCTTTTGCACTGAGAATAATGAACATTGGGTAGCACTCGATATTGATCTCTTCAAAAGATGCATTGACGCATATGATAGTTTACCGAGTGTCATGCGGAAGCGACAATTTGAAACGGAATTGGAGCCCATTCGAGTTGTCGTACCTATGCTAATGAGGATGTTGAATGCTACCTATAGTTCAGAAAAATTTGATTTGAAACGATTACCATGTCCTAGCCAAGCAAATGGGTATGTATCACATATATTTCATCATATCATGATTATAAGTGTATTATCAAACTTGATAAACTAATAGATATTGTACATTTATATTACAGGTTTGACTGTGGGATGTTTACAATCAAATTCATCGAGTATTTGCATGCTGGGAAGGATGTTAAAGGCGTAGAGCAAAAAATGATTCTCTCTTGGCATATCAAACTAGCAGCTGAAATTTTTGCACAACATTTTGATCCTTAGTTTGTTTTAGGAGTGGAATATTCAATGGCTTGTAGGGATGTTTTGGATATCACATTTTGACTGTTGTCTTATTTTTTTATGTGTTTTTCAGTGTAAAGAAACGAGTTGTTAAGTTTTTAAGTTTTTTTTTTGACTGGTGTATTGTTATTTCACGTATTTGCCTAATGTATTACCGGCATTTAATTCACCTAATTTAGTTCTTGAACAGCTATTATAGAAATTTTGGAATGACTGTAGTCACGGTATAATGCATTATATAATAGAGGTAGTACATTGTTATAGCTATAATTTATGTCCACTAGATAAATAATACATTACAAAATGAATGTACCTTCTTTATAACAGCATTTTATCAGCCCTTCGCAACCCGATTGAAGGAGTTTGATGCTGAGATCCGGAATTAAGCCGAGGAACCTTGTACTAATGTTTTTTTTAATTGTTTAAAAAAAAAATTATATAAAATCCAGAGTCGCGGCCGCGGAGATTGTCACGCCCGCGACATCCAGGCAAGGGTTCTGTCCCCTTCCATGTCGCGCCCGCGGCGGTCATCGCGCCCGCGACATCCTGGCAAGGATTCTGTCCCCTTAGTGTCGCGCCCGCGGCACTAGTCGCGCCCGTGACATCCTGGCAAGGGTTCTGTCCCCTTCAGTGTCGCGCCCGCGGTGATCGTCACGCCCGCGACAGGAAATATCAAGCTGCAGAAGCTCGCGACGGCTGTCCCGGGCGCGACGATCAGGCTGTCTTGTTGTGTTTTTTATTTATTTTTTATTTCTTTAATTTTTTTTTCGCTTTTAGGTCGCGACGAAAATCATTTCCAGAAATAACGATACTTGTTTTCTTTCAGAAATGGAAAGACCATGAAGAATCGCTTCGTTGTTTGTATTTGATTGAAAAACAACCATAACGAATTTACATTCGTTATGATGTATGCAATAACCAATGTACATTCGATTTGGTTATTTTGGGATCTAAACACAAACCAAATCATGAATCAAATCCACATTGCAATAGAAGAAAGAAAACTGAAAAGTCAAATGTCGAATCCAAAAGACAATCCAAATCCATTAGAAAATACAAATCCAAAAAAGACAAACCAAATCCATAAGTCAAACCAAATCCGAAAGATAAAACTGATAATTATGAAGTCTAGAATAAAAGTCTTTGCCTAAAGACAACGCACTGTCACTGTGCATCCGTTGCATTCGATGATGGAGGTGGAGGTGGAGGTGGAGGTGGAGGTGGAGGTGGAGGTGGAGGTGGATGTGGAGGGTAGGGTAGGCTGCTGCCTGAACTCAAGCGAACGTCCCATTGTCGGAACTGGTCGCCCCATTGTTTCCACTGATCAAATTGCCGAGACTCCCATTGGGTCCAACGTTCATCGAACCTCTTGTTGTGCTCCTCCAACGCCTATCATTATGCTCAATGAATTCATCGAGCCTCTTGTTGTGCGCCTCCCAACGCCTATCATTATGCTCAATGAAGGTATCGAACCAAACGGTGGCTTGTTGAGATCGCGCGTCCGGAGCGCCCGCGTCAACTACTGGAGGGAGGAAATAGTCATTTGGGTTGGTCTCTGTTTCTTCGTCCTCTACCTCGTCCTCGGTATCAGGTGGTGGCTGAGAGGAACTACCTACTTCGGACAATTTTTTCAACTCTGCCATATATGCCTTATAGCAACCTCGAAATTTGTAATCAATGATCGTGGTGCTGTTTGAAACGAGCTCGGCTTTCGTTAAATCCCACAACACGATCTTCTTCGGTTGAAGCGGCACTTCATCAATTTGAACTTTGAAGTGCTTAGCGAGCGCGGTGACAACATTGGCCAATCTCGGAGGGCGGTTGGCGAAGATTTTCGTTTCCAGGAGTGTCTCTTTAACAAATGCAGTAATGCATATGGGCTTCTTTGCACACATTGCCGACAAGAGATAAACTTCTTTCTCGCTAACCTTGTTCGAGTCTTTCTTGCCAAAAACATTGTAGCACAGAAATTTGTGTACCACTGCAATGGCCACATCTTTGATTAGCCCATTTGATGGGCCCTTTACCTTGAATTTGTGGCATGGAGACAGAACGGCCCAATTCTTGTGTACGTCAAAATCACCGGGTACTTGGCGAGACCCCATCGTGCGGAAACCAAAGACCTCATGCATCACCTTGTTATCAACCTTGTATTCTTTACCTTTCATCCGAAAACAGAAAGACTTGCCTTTGTCTTGTGGTAAAAATGTGGTAAAGAATTCAACCGATAGTTCCTCGCTTGCCACATTGTCCATGGCTTCGTACTTCTCAAGATTGAGTGCCTTCAAGTATTTCCTCACGTCATCCGAGATTTTTAATGAGTCTAGCAACTCCCAATCAAGTGTTCTTGGGATCCGGCATTTCATCTTCATGAGGCGTTTGTACGAGTGCACCTCATCTTGAGAGAAAACTGGGAATGAAATGCCGTGCTTTTGAGCCAAAGTTTGAGTTTCGGTGTCCGAGTTGCTATTGTTCGAGTTTGATGAAGAAGGCGGGGTTCTAGTAATTGCTTTCTTTTGCCTTGGTTGTTTCCTTTGGAGGGAGCTTTTGATGACGAAGCCTTTCCCATGATCGGTTATTGAATACTCTCGAAGGAAGTAAGTGGATGCAAGCTGATGGGTCTACTTCTAGATCTGCAGTAAACCGGTGGTTGTGAGTTCAGATCTGCTTGAACCGCCTTGAAACCGTTGCTAGACCGCAAGAATACCTGCAAAAACTCAACGCCGGAGGTGTTTCCGGCGTAGAGCCTCTGACGCTCAAGTCAGTATGAGAGTGATGAAGAGAGGCTGCGCAGCAGCTATGGGGAGAGTGGGAATGAATGAGAGTTGGGGTTTAGGGTTACCTTATCTTCTTTATATAGGAGTGAACACTTACGTGAAGTGTCCAAAATGCCCCAGTCGGTGGACCTGGAAGGTCCAAAATGCCCTGGTCGATTCGTCTCCCCTTATTGCTGAGTCATCACAAGATTCCTTCTTATCCTTCCTAATGTGGAGGGCTTCGGATATGTTGCAAGTGTGGTGAATCGTCATCACATCTTTGTTATTTAAGGTATGTGAAGTCGACTTCGAGATCTAGGAAGTCGACTCGTGGATATGTGCGGATTCGGAGGCTACGCTTGACTAGTTCTTTGAGGCGAAGTCGTCTTCAGAGAGTAGTCTTAATTCAGTCGACTTCTAGTAGTCGACTTAGAATATCTGGATGACCGGGAGCTGTACTCTTGCTGTTCCTCTTTCATTGATGTCGATTAGTGAAAGGCGATAGAGTGAAGTCGACTTGGTAGAGTCGACTAGACCGATTTCTTTCTCTCCTGGATTACTCTTGGTAGAATCGACTTCTAGGGAAATCGATTGGTCATGTCGGCGGAATCATCTCGACGCACGAGCCGTTCGAGTGGCTCGCCAGTCGAGTAAGAAGCTTCTAGACCGGGTTATCCTTATGTGGCTATATCATCTAGTCCCCCCCAAAAATTACTCTAAGCAGTCAACTGCTTAAGAGTAAATTTGGTGATGTGTAGTTTCACTGTCTCCCTGCGATACTTGCTCGTCTTTCGTCCTCTTTGATAACTCGTCTTGTCAATCCATCGGGTCGCCTCTCATCCTCATGATTGCTTTTTTGGATAAGTCTGACACTGTCAGACCCTTTTCAAATTTTAAAATTTAAATTTTAGAAACCCTAAAGTGACGCGCGTCATCCCCGTCGCCGACTCCTCGAATTCTACGCTTCATCTGGGTCGTTGATTCCGCTATTGATCCAACGGTCCGCCTCTATTATCCTCAAGTATAAATGCATCGCGCGTCTTCCTTGGGTGGCTTTTCACGCTTCCAACTTTCCAAGCTCTGAACCGCTTCTAACCCTCCGGTGCTTTCTGTGCTTCCTGCTCTCCGGCGTTTCTTTCTCCGGCAATCTTCAGGCTTATTCGCGGTTCAAAACAACCACGCCGTCATGTGTAAGTTCTCTATCCCCTTTACTCTTCAATTCTTTGTTGATTTTTCCTTTCCGGATTTTCTCTGGATTCCCAGAATTTTTGAAGTTCATGCGTGTTCTTCATATTTTTCGTGAATTTCTCATGGGTTTCACACTTAGATCTCTTTACGCATATACTCCGTTAGAATTTATTGTTTTTATCAGTAGTCGGCTGCCGATGTGCAATCGACTTTCACCTGTTACTAAGTCGGCTCGTCGACTTAGTGGCCTTCTTTCTTCAATTTTTCTTCTCGAGTCGACTAAGGTCGATTTACTGGTTTATTTAAGTCGAAATACCGATAGCGATTGTCCCTTCTGTCCTTTCTTCCTCTGTCGATTATTGCGAATCGTTCTGATTCGACCTTGTAGGCTCTTACTCGTGGTTTTACTAACTTCAACCTTCTCCCCCCCTTTTCTTTTTTCTTTCCTTAGCTTCCGACTCGTCTTCTCTCTCTGGCTCCCTTGGTCAGCAAATCAACGATTATATTCACCATGTCGACGAGGGTTCCAGTTCCGACTCCGTCGAGGTTACCGGCTATAGGATGATTACTCTGCCTTTTAATCCTTCCTCTCCTCATGTTTCTGCTTCCTCCGTCGACTGGGCACAGTATGATCAAGCGCTTGTAGAGGGCGGCTTAGTCGACGTCGTGAAGAGCCCTTCTCGAGGGAATTCTCCTCGTCTCGATCTTATCCCTCGAGGTATTCCTCTTAGGTTATTGGACATCCCTGTTTATAGAACAAGCCATGTATCTGTACCAATAATTGCTCCTCTTCTTGATTCTCAAAACACTGTAATAATAGCTTGTCCTTTAGCTCGGTTAGCGGTCTTAAATCCTTTTTGTTATGCCTCTGCAGCCGAGGTCGAGGGCTTCAGGAAATTTAGCGGGCTCCCTTCTGACTGGGAGTTGGTCGCCCCCGGCCCTAATGACGATTTTGCTCATCCCCCTCCCGGCTGCCATACCTTTTTCGTAGATCAAGTCGTCTTCGGCCTCCGCTTTCCCATCCAAGACGAGTTGATC